TCACCGCATCTCAGGACTGTTAAACAGTTAATTTGCCCCCACTCTCTTTTCAGATTCCCCCAAAATAAAATAATAAGCAGTTTTTGGATTGTTCTAAGGGGAAAGTGAGGACTTTTCTCCTTTACTGACAACTCATTCAGCTCCCAAAAAGTCCTTAGCTGTAGAACCTGTAGTTCCCTCTCAGCCAGCCGTTCCACAGCCAGAATGTCCCTGTCAGACAGCTTTTCCTGACCTAGAGCCTTTTTAATGGACCAGTCCATGAGCCAGAGCCCTTTAGTGAGCCCACTGCTGATTCAGAGTCCTTTAGTGGGACCGCTGCTGAGTAAAATCAAATCAATTTATTTATATAGCGCCAATTCACAACACATATAATCTCAAGGCACTTTGCAATTCAACCAGATCATAGAGTCAAATTGATTCAAAGTTTTCTATCTAAGGAAAACCAGTTGATTGCATTGACTTATTGACTCGAAGGCAAACCCTCACACTAAGCATGCTTGTAGTGACAGTGGAGAGGAAAAACTCCACTTTAACAGGAAGAAACCTCCAGCAGAACCAGACTTAGTGAGAGTGTCCATCTGCTAAGGTCGACTGGGGTTCCAGCAAACAGAAGCAGACACACAGAAAGAAGCAGAGATACCAAGGCAACTGTAAACCAGCTCCACAGGCGGCCTGTCCAGGAAACACACAGCCAGGCAGACGAGCTCCAATCCAGCTCCAATGTTAAAGGATGAAAAGAGCACATCTAGCGAGTCCTAATCAGAGAAACAAGGCTGCACTTAAAAACAATCTGATCTCAAACATCTATAAACAAATGTGTTGATGGCAGCAGCACACTGATATTTCTCTCCAGGTTGATGTCACAGCCAAACAGGAACAGACCAGATGAAGGCACTGTGGTAAATGGTAAATGGCCTGCACTTATATAGCGTTTTTTCAAGTCAGGAGACTTGACCAAAGTACTTTACACTACAGTCAGTCGTTCACCCATTCACGCACACACACACACAATGATGGTGGCAAACTACATTGAAGCCACAGCTGCCCTGGGGCTCACTGACAGAAGCGAGGCTGCCATACAATGACGCCACTGCGCCCTCTGACCACCATCAGTAGACAATGCAGGTGAAGTGTCTTGCCCAGAGAGAGCATAGCGTTAGAGAATAAACTAACAAAGTGGGAGAATAGAGATGGATAGAAGTAGAATGATGAGAAAGGGGTCCCTATGTCCTCCAGCAGTCTAAGCCTATAGAGGCATAGAGATAGCTCAGGATAACCTGGGCCACTCTAACTATAAGCTTTATCAAAACGGAAAGTTTTAAGCCTAGCCTTAAAAGTATACAGGGTGTCTGGCTCACGGACTAAAACTTGTAGTTGGTTCCACTGGGGAGGAGCCTGATAAATAAAAGTGAAAGTGTTATATTGTCTTTTATAATTGTTAAAACTGATTTAATATTGGAACAAACTTAGGCTCATTCTTAGTGTTGTGTTTGTAGATGATACAAATAAAAAAGAAAATAGACATAAGGAGCTATTTAAACAGTCAGAAAGTAGGCAATATAGGATGATGATAAAAGGCTGTGTTATATTTAATCCTTTACTCTTAAAAACACAATTGTATAATAGAAACATTATAGGATTGAAGGAAACCCAGATATAATGATGCAGGGCAGGCTTAAGGTGAAGCAGCTGCCCTACAGTGTTGCATTATAGAAGAAATG